GCAGGAGCAGCAGCAGGAGCAGCAGCAGGAGCAGCAGCAGCAGAAGCAGTGTGCTCAGTCTGAACCTTGTTCTACCAGATGGAGCGTCTGTTTGGGCTGCAGAGTTTAGAACGTGCTCCTCCCAGGGGGGTGAACACTTTAGAGAGCCACTGTCTCCCCCTGAAACCTGTTTTTAGAAGCAGACAGACGGCCAACCTCTCTGCTCCTTGATGATCCTCTGGGTTACTTTGTCCACGGAGCAGATCTTCTGGCTGAACATGTCCACGTAATCCTGCATGGCGCTGAACTCGTCCAGCTTGGTCCTCAGGCCTCGCACAGAGTTAGCCATGGCCCTCATGGACTCCCCCATCCTGCTCAGGAAGCCAGGACCCTGTTTCCTGTGAGGGGCCAGCTCCTGGAGGAGAAGACCCAGGGATTAGATCAGATTAGATCAGATTAGATCTGATTAAATAAAATCAGATTAGATCCATTCAGATTAGATCAGTTCAATTAGATCCATTCAGATTAGATCAGATCAGATTAGATCAATTCAGATTAGATCAGATCAGATTAGATCAATTCAGATTAGATCAATTCAGATTAGATCAGTTGAGATTAATTCAGATCAGGTTAAATCAGATGAGTCCAGATTAGTTCCATTCAGATGGGATTAAATGAGGTTCTATCCCCTGAGGTGTGTGTGAGTAACCTGCTCGGTGAGGAACACCCTGAGGTGCTGGCTGCTGGACAGCAGCGGGTGCAGGGAGACCCGGTCCAGGAAGCGCTGCAGGGCTCTCCTCCTGGTCTGGATGAAGTCATCACTGAAGCGCTCCACCATCCCCTTCACCACAAACTTCTCTGGCAGAGGCTGCAACAGGGAGAAGATCCTCAGAACCAGAACCGCCGGCCCACCTCTGCTTCTAGTTTGGAACGTCCATGGTTCTGACCCGCTTCTCCTCAGCATTATCTGGCTGAGGAGAAACCGGACCGCAAATTCTGCAACCAGAATCCACATCCAATCCACCAGAACCTTTCAGAACCCCCCAATGGAGATTCTGGTCTATTCCAGCAGAACGTGGTTCTGACCCAAACTACCAAAGCTGGTGGTAGTGGGTTTGACTGGCCAGATAACGGGTCGGACCAGAACCTCGGAGCTAAAATGAAACACCAGAACCATCCTGGGGTTCTATTGGACCGCATCAGAACGACGATGAGGGTTAGGAACCGACAGCTGCCTGTGGTTTAACCTCAGCTCGTACTCAGACCGGACCGGACCAGAACCAGAATGTTGATACCTACGTGAACGATGAGGGTCGGGTGGCTCTCCTCCAATCTGCTCCTGAGCCACACAAAGTCCTGGTACCGCCGGCGTACCTCATACTCGCTGGAGTCGAACTCGCTGCGCGTGGTCTGTAGAACAGAACGAGACAGAACTTCAGCTTCTGGTTCTGGGCCGTTTGGACCCATTGGCTGCAGGTGAAAGGTCTGTGAGGCAGCTTTCAGGTGAGGTGACCCCGTCCCTCACGGAGCCAGAGGCTCCCTGATCACTTAATGGGGCTGATTTGGGCTAACAAAGCTAGCATACATCAGGTAGCCTGGAGCTAACAATGCTATCCAAAAATCAAGTAGCCTGGAGCGTAGAATGCTAGCCAAAATGAGGTAGCCTGGAGCGTAGAATGCTAGC